GAGGCTTTAAGTCTTCACATGTGTTCACAGCTGTTCCCTACTCGTCCTGTAGGTGGCCTCAGTGTGCTCCCAGTCAGCTGGTTTAAAATCATAAATAATTATAAATAAATGTTATTATTGCTGCTGTGAGTTCACTTTGTCTCCAGTCTGTGACATGGTGTGTCATGTGACAATAACAAACACATGAAGAAGCTCTTATTTAATATTTATCATCTGAGTTCCTGCCAGATAAAGTCGGCTGGAGTCGTCCCTTTGTAGAGCCGCTGTCACTTGACTGATCACATGATCACATGCATACTCTGTTGGCTTGTGACAACTCTGAAACTGAAACATCTGCAGTATCATATCATAGTTCGGTCTTTCTGTGCTTTGACACTTAGAGCTCTTGTGCAGGAGTTAAAATGAATGTTAGTCTGCTGAAAGCTGTAATCCTTTAATTCACAAATCAACTAAAGTCTAAACATATCAGAATAATGGAGTTTATTTTCTGTAGCTGCAGCTCATAAATCCTTTATACAGCTTTGAAATTAATAATAAGTAAAAATTATATATCAGAGCAACTAGAGTGAAGTGTGTTGGACTGACAAGCTTTTGTTTTTTGTCAGTGGAAGATTTTTGACACAGATACTTTTGAACTTCTGAGATCAGCAGATTGTTGTTTTTATAGTGTTACTCGTTGCTCTCATGGACCTCCTAAAATGTTCCCATCGACTGCCACTGAACCTTTATTATTTATAAACCTCTATTACTATAAGCTTTATTACACCTTAATAATATTTAAACAAACCAGTGAGAGCAAAATCTTTTGTATGAAGCTGTTATTATGTTTATGTTTTCTTTACTGCACTTCATCCCAAACATGTATTTCACACCAAACTCCCTCATCTATGTCTTTATGGACTTTGCTGTCTTCACTGGTAATAAACATCTGTCCTCCATCTACAGGAGCAGTCAGCTGGCTGTGACTTAGTGTGTCAGTGATGATGTTTGATATTCAGGCTGATGAAAGTGTTAATGTTATAACATTAAAAATATTTTAGATTACGTGCGCCCCAGGGCAGCTGTGGCTACAATGTAGCTTGCCATCGCCAGTGTGTGAATGTGTGTGTGAATGGGTGAATGACTGACTGTAGTGTGAAGCGTTTTGGGGTCCTTAGGGACCAGAAAAGCGCTATACAAATGCAGGCCATTTACCATATTTATTTATTTATTTATTAAAATATTTATTTCAGCTCACAGCTCTATAGAGCTGTGAGCTGAAATAAATCCAGTCTGGTGCTGTGTGGAAACAGTCAGCTGCAGTTTGTTCATCGGCTCATTTTCTGCAGACAGGGCATTTATAGAATCAGTGGAACATTTATATTTATAGAATAACAAGATAGAATTTGATGGAAACAAGTTTGAACTGATTATATCTAAACAAATTTGTAATTCAAACAAATCATTAAAGAAGACAAGATAAGTTTGTCATGAAGAGGCTTCCTGCTCTGCAGCAAATTGTTCACTTCAGATTGGATTAAGGACACAGCTTAGCTAAAAACAACTTCCACTAACACACTGAGTGTTTCTGTGATCTCCAGTGGAACCAGTTTAAAGTGTCACTACAAAAGAAACTACAATAGAAACATAATTTTAATGCTGCGCTCGGTAACAGGACAGAAAACCTCCAACAAACATTTCTACATGTTTCTAAAGTCCAGACTCCATTTCTGCTTTTGTTTCATCCAATCTTCCTCATATAAACACCTCCCTTCCTGCTTAAAGTTTCACTTGTCTTTCGTCAACTCAGTGTCTCATGCTCATCTTCACCACAAACAGCAGAAATCTGCCACTCCATAGTTCACAGTAATGGACTCACAGCTGGACCAACAAGACCAAATGGAATCAGAGCAGCAGCAGGTTTGAATTTAACTTTTTACTCAGACGTTTTTTTAAAAGTTTAGACTCACACTTTCTCCTTATTGTGTTTTTGATGGACAGGATGGTAAAAATTCTCTCATGACATCATTTTATTTCCATTTCAATTCATATTTTCAATGAAAGCCATTTAACAGCATTATTATATGAAAATAAGTGATGTGCAAACAGAGTGAGAATTTCTGAGGCCATGGAGAGAAAAGAGGAGCACAAACACTGACTGTGAGCTTAGTTCAAATGTCAACACTCATGAACTACTCCAGTAACTTTAAACTTTCCTCTGTAAGATGTAAACAGCAGCTACCTGCAGCATTTAAGGTGGAATGTTTTGCTTCACATTACTCGGTTAACAGTTTAAATATCAGTGTAACAGTGCTGACCATCAGTTTGTCTTTATTTACTCTGTGAGCTAAAGTCCTTTTTAGTGAAGACTGAATTTACACCAGTTTTGACTAATATCAGAGTTTTACCCCTGATACTGCTGGATAAACAGAAACTCACTCAGGAACAAGGTCACACAGAGCTCAAGTTTTCACTCGCGAGAGGGAAGCAGTTGTCTCCAACCCACTTCAACTTGCTTTCCCCCTGCAGGTTGTTTTTATTGGTTACACACATGAATATTCATAAAGCTTGTTGCTGTATTACCTATGAGAAATTACTATATTTGGTGACAAAGTGTAATTGTGCTGTGCAAGCATGGTTATACAATGTGTGGTTATATGATGGGAGTGCAGCTCTCCCAGATTGTTGTTGGTAGAATCTGTTCTTCTCAAGACTGCTTGTTCCCCTTATCAAGGTCGTGTACATACTCATATGCGTGGGTTACCTAGATAGCAAACAGAAGCATTCTAGCTTTTTAAATGGCAACCTACAACACATAGATTAAACCTAACATTCTTCCCTCCTGTTTGACATTTTAAAAGCTGTTGTTGTCAACTATCAGTACAGCATCACTTGCAGGTGCATTTTCAATGCTTACTTCATTTGAACACAATCTTTCATGCCCTTCTCTGGGTCTTCCTGGGCTAATGCGTAGTAAATAAAGGTATTAGTTACCATCCTTTGTACACAGTACATTTCCCAGTGTTAAATCAGCAGTGCTAAAGTGTATTTACTAGGGGTGCAACGATACACAAAATTCACGGTTCGGTTCGATTCGATACTTTGGTGTCACGGTTCAATATTTTTTCGATACAAAAAAAATGTTCATGCCTTTTTAATTTGTCATTTATTAAAATTATAAATATATATTTTAACTCAAAAGTATAGTTTTTAAATTTAATGTTGCTGAAACAACAAATTAATAAAAAAATAAATATATCTGATTGAGGAATAACTCATCTTTGGAAAAGAGAGTTTATTACAGAGAAATGGCTATTTCCAAAATAAAAGCTATACTATA